AGTGCTCTCAGGGTCTGTGGCCCCCTCACCTGGGCTGAGCTTGCAGGCAAGGCGCTCCGCCAAGCGGTACCCCTCAGACAGGCTCTCTCGGAAGCCCTGTCTCTGGTGGTTGTCCAGGTCACTGTGGGTGAGGAGGTCCCTGAGGTGCTGCTTGAGCAGGGCAGAGTCATCTTTCCCGTTCTGTAGTGTCTGCCGTAGCTGGGTCAGCTCTCGTGCCTGACTTCGAATTAGGATGTCACATGTTCTAGGTGGAACAGAAGACACAATTGTAAAAGGCAAAGAGTTAGATGAAAGACGGTTAGGGATTTCTGTGAGAACATCCCCAAGGAGACCTCGAGACAGAATTCCGGCACATATCTGATGACTGGCTCAGTCACTCAGTTGTGTCCGACTCTTGCGATCAAATGGAGTATAGTGCACCAGTTTCTTCTGCCCATTGGCTTATCCTGGCAAGAAAACTGGAGTGGGTTGCCATTTCCTCCTCCATATCTGATGACTGGCCTACGTCAAAGAGAAAGAAGGGAGACAAAGGTTTCCTCTGTATCAGACACTACTCCTGTAAGATTGCGTGACATTCCATTCATCTTGTCCTTCTGTAAAGGTAAGCTAATGGCTTCCCTGGTGGCTCAACTGGTAAAGAACCTGAGTGACAATTCAGGAAACACAAGAGATGCAGGTTTGATCCCTGAGTCGGGAACATTCCCTGGAGAAGGAAATGGAAACCCATTCCAGTGTTCTTGCCTGGAAATTTCATGGACAGAGGAGCCTGGTGGGCTATAGTCCATGGCGTCGTAAAGAGTCAGATACTATTGAGTGCACATGCATGCATCAATGTCTTCCTAAATCTGCATCATGAAGATGTCTCTTCAGTTCCTCACTCAGCCATGCCCATTTTCATTAAAAAATACACAAAATATGTCCTGTATTTTGTTTTATTTTATTTTTGTATTTTCTGTATTTTTAATGTGGCAAGACAAAGTACTGTCCAGTGAATGACACACAGCCAGATAGAGAATGTGGACACGTATAGCTAGTGTGAACTGGGAAGAACAGAAGAATGACAGGGTCAAGAAAGCATTCCAGGATGCAGTCAGTCAGGAGGCGGTTGTGATTTAAAGGCAAATAAGGTGCTGATGGCACAACATTGTCAATGAGCTCAGTGCCATTGGTTCACTGAATGTAGTGAGTTTCCTGATGAGATTCAAGTCACTAGTTTATTTAAAAGCAAAGTAAATTACCTCCTGAATAGCAACTGGAGTCCATAATTCACCAACTGGTGTTCTGCACCCACTTTATCATAGTGTGCCCTGTGTCTTCCATGAACATCCCTGCCCTCCTTACCTCAACCTTTCGTCAAGCGTTGGCTTCTCTGCCAGCTTCTCTGCTGGCCTCCGCGCCTCACCCGGCAGCTTCTCCCCCAGCACAGATTCAACGATGTCCTTACATGCGTCACACTCTGAGGAAAGAGAGACAGTGCCTCAGGGAAAGCCAGCATTGCTGCTGTGGTCACTGCCTTCAAGGGAGGAGGACGGGCCACCTCAGTGGTGGATGTAACTCCTTCTCCAGTCTCCTCATGCTGGGATCTCAGTAACGAACAAGTGTCTCAAGTATAAACCTCACCTGGACACACTGGTGTGAAATAGAATACGTGAAACCATAAGGACCTGAAAGAGACAGGCCCAAACCCTGAGGAAGCCTGTGTCATTAGGAACAGTAGAACTGTGAACTAAGTGTATTTACACTGAGCCAGGCACTGCTGTCAGGGCTTTGTCAGATTTACTCAGGCTTCACTACAACTCAAACAAGAGTTACTATTACAGCACCACATGGGCAGAGGAGGAAACCGAGACACAGAAAGGTTCCCAACAGGGATGTGAGCCCAGGAAGCCTGGCCCAGAGTCCGCGTCTTTCACACTGCGCTGCGGTGACCTCCCACCAGAGTCCTGGTGAGACATTTCTTCTTCACCAGCCTCCCAATTTCTTTCCTAGAATTTTGTGACTATTACAAGGAGCGNTTACTTTGGCTATTCGAGGTTTTTTGTATTTCCATACAAATTGTGAAATTATTTGTTCTAGTTCTGTGAAAAATACTGTTGGTAGCTTGATAGGGATTGCACTGAATCTATAGATTGCTTTGGGTAGAATAGCCATTTCAGTTAATACACTTTAGCTTTCTCCCGAGAGACACAGGCAGTTCTGTGCTTGCGCCAGGAATCACAATCTGGATGATCATGACACTGGGTGATTGAGATACAGATACACAATCTGTATCTCACCCTACAACTCACCACAAAGTTGGAAAAGTGCCTCCACTCCTTGTGCCTGTTTTCCATCCTCAGGGAACTGAGGGGAAAAGAGCCACTTGTACTTTTCCTGGATTGTGGTCAGAATGGAATTCAAAATGACAAAGGCAGCAGGAGACAAAGCATGAAGACTTAGTTTCTTAGAGGGAAGAGAGTGACCATTGATTGCTTTGGTGATCACGACCCTAAGGACTGTATTGTACTTCTGGCAGCTGGTTGGCAGTGGGTAAGCAGTTGCTTGGATATGAGGAATTTCTCTGTGAGGTCTTGAAAGTCCTTGTTATTTATCAGATGCAACGGAAGCTTCTGGTTGATTTCAGTGAGGATAAGTTCTGCCCTCAGGTCAGATAAAGAGAGAAGAGGTATTGCCATGGTGATGTGTAGCAGATGAGGGCAGAGCCAGGGGCGAGGAGAAGACACTCAATATACAGGGGATTAAAGATAAGCAAAATCACATAGGTTTAATCAGCACTGAGGAATGACAAAAACTGGAATTCTTCACTTACTGTTGGGACCAACTAGAGGGTTCTTAACCCCAAAAAGAAAGTTTAAGATGCCAGAGCTCAGAGTCACAAGTGCTGTGTGGGGCTCAGACTCAGACAGGAGTGAAGGAGGGGGACCCAGCATGCTCGATAACTGTTTGGAGTCGCTGTAACAGAACTGGTAGGGGGAGACGGTCATGGAATCTTGGGGGCCCCTGCCTTCCAGGTGCCTAGGTNAACATCACCACTGATAGCACCCAATCCCTCAGCAGCCACTCTTGTGTTGTCTACACACGTCCCGATACCACTGACCTATCTCCTTCCATAAACTATCTAAGCTGAGTTCCCATTGTTCATTCTTCTGTGTATCAAAATATTCCTGGGAGAAATACTTTGCCAGCAGGCCTTAATTCCTGTCGGGCTGTCATAAAGTCACCACAGATCAGTTCAGTTCATTTCAATCGCTCAGTCATGTCTGACTCTTTGCAACCCCATGGACTGCAGCACGCCAGGCCTCCCTAGCCATCACCAACTCCTGGAGTTCACTCAAGTTCACATCCACAGAGTCGGTGATGCCATCCAACCATCTGATCCTCTGTCGTCCCCTTCTCCTCCTGCCTTCAATCTTTCCCAACATCAGGGTCTTTTCCAATGAGTCAGTTCTTTGCATCAGGTGGACTAACTATTGGAGTTTCAGCCTCAGCATCAGTCCTTCCAGTGAATAGTCAGGATTGATTTCCTTTAGGATGGACTGGTTTGATCTCCATGTAGTCCAAGGGGCTCTCAAGAATCTTCTCCAATACCACATTTCAAAAGCATCAATTCTTCGGCAGTCGCTTTCTTTTTAGTCCAACTCTCACACGCATACAAGACTACTGGAGAAACCATATCATCTCATCTTCTGTTTCTTTTTTAACCTCACCTTTTTAAACAGATCTTAAGGCTTTTCCACAACTGAAGGGCATCAAACTTGTAGATGTCATAAACTTCTTCCCTGTGTCTTCTCCAGTTTAGTCTGTGTCCTAAAAACTGTAGGATAAAAATCAGAGTACAATACTAAGTGGATAAAGAATTTTTAAAAATATTTTCTGTTCCATCTCAGTGCTTTTGCTGCATCCTGTTTTTATGTCATTTTTTTCTCTTTGCTGGGCAGCATGTTGTCTACAGAATAAACTGAAATTTGATATCCCTACTTTCTGAATTCTTCCTCTCGGTCTGGGTTGTTTTATTTGATTTTTTTTAATGTTACTAAACACTGCATTTCATACTTTCACTTGTGTATTTCACTGTAGCCTCACAAGAGCTCTTTCCAAGCTGTCAAAGTGACTAGAAGTGTTTATGTGTATATCCTTGAAAACATGGTGTGCTTGTGCCATCACTTCACTCTTGTCTGACTCTTTGCGATCCCAGGACTGTAGCCCGTCAGGCCCCTCTCTCTATGGGAATTCTCCAGGCAAGAATTCTGGAGTGGGTTGCCCTGCTCTCTTCCAGAGGCCTTCCTGACCCAGGGATCGATCCCGCATCTCCTGTGTCTCCTGCATTGCCGGCTGATTCTTTACCACTGAGCCACTGCATACCTGGGGTGCCTGTCTGTTTAGGAAAGATCTGACAGCCTCGTGCTATCGTTCTGTGTTCATTCAGTTCACCCACATATTGAACAGACCAGGGCTCCAGAGCAGTGTTTGTGGCACACACTTTGACCCATCTCTCTGAGTTTTCCTCATGCCATTGACCTGTAGTTGTATTCCAGAAACAGAGCATGGTTAAGTTCAAGGTCATAGGTCAGGGGTCATGATGATCCAAAGTGAACAGAAGCATTGTTTTCAGTGACATAGAAGCTGAGTTTGAGGAAAGAGATGCAGGCAGGCCCTCGGGTAGTAATGGTCTGAACCAACTGCTCATTTCCCTAGCATCTCTTCCTACCTGGGTCTTGTGAGTCTGAGACTCGGGGAACCCTTATAGCATCCATCTCTTCAGGTTAGCTGTTGGTCTAACCTGGATGGAGGGTGAAATGGGTGTGACAGCAGGCCACTGAGCATTTGTTCATGTTAAGGTAAAAGATACAAAACTGGAACAACTATTTATGAAAGCTTATCTTCCCCACACCCCCACACAATCCTCCAACTACAATGCTTAATGATAATTGGTGTGTGAGATTCAGCAAAGGCTTTAAGGGAA